ATAGCCTTTTTCAGAGTATGAATAGCTCGTATGTCTTAAGCATAGTGCTTCTGGGAGCAGGCAAATGAGTTGCAACAATTTTGAGAAGCTGGTTGTTTCCTTAGTCTTATCTCTTCCTAAGTATAAAACTGGCCTTATTACTTTGTACTATACAGTGTATTATATATATAGATGAGATAGAAATAAGTTAGCGCAACAGTAAGGCTGAGTAATTGAGTCAGTGGGTCTTCAAAATGGTGCCCAAACCCTGAAATTTATTTCATTTTAGATTGCTTTCAATATCTTAGTATAAACTGTGAGGTAGTCCCTTAACAGTGCCTTCTGACTTCATAGCATTTCTAAGACAACTGATTTTAATTTTTATAACTCATTTTTAAAATCATTAGTATCTCTGGGAAATCATACTGTTGGTTTTTCCCTCATTTTTTTTTCCATTTCTTTTTCCCCCTCTGTATCTTTAAAATTGCTTTTGACAGCTCTGGGACCTGTAGGAGCTATTGCCAAATTTTGGAATGTAACTTTCCTGCAGCAGCATCCAAAGTTAACAAAAAGACATGGAAAAATCCCATCTCAATGGTAGTATTCTAATCTACCAACATCTGCATACCTTATTCTGTTCCACTGAGGTTTTCTAAAAATAATTTAAGTGATATAGCTTCCTTACTTCTGTAGGGAGAATAATCCATATCAAATATTTTTGCCTCAAAGCATTATCTTACGCTCAATATGATTATCTCAATAAAGGTTCGTTATTCTTAAGTTCAAGGAAAATTATTTTCATTCTATTTGTAGACATTTGTAGCTATTGTTAGAGGGTATATTACCGAACTTCTGTTTAATTTAGCTAGGCACATTTAAGCCTGAAAATGAGTTTTTTCCCAAAGAAATATTCCAAAATAAATATATCCCCTTATTTTTCTCTTTGTCTCCTCTAACTCTATCTAAAGAGTCAGAGTTTTTCTAACTCTTTCATAATATCTTTGTTGTAGTTAGTTCAAAATAGAATGTTTAATGATAAAAGTTTAAGTAAAATATCCCAACCATATGGGATTTGGAAAATGCTCCCTTAAAAACTTTTGGGTCAAAGGAGAAATAAAACTGCAATTAAAGAATATCTACAAAGTAAGAAGAATGAGAACACTATGAATAAAATTCACAGGATGCAACCAGAGATATATTTGGAGGAAAATGACTGAATTTAAAAACTTTTGTTATTAAACAATAAAAGTGACATTTAACAAACTGACTGTGAAATCTGAAAATCTGGAAAAAAAGAAATAAACAAAAACTATATGGCATGCCCAAGCAAAGCAAATTAAAACATTTATTAAGGAACCAGAAATTAACAAAGTAGAGAAGAGAAATATTATAAAGTTGGTATGTCCAACACCTGTTAAAGAAAAACCTTTGCCTGTCTAATCACAAACAAGTAAAAAGAAAATAATTCACAGTATTAGGAATGAAGGAAGGGATAAGAAGAGAGGGATAAGAATGAAAAGATTGTAAAAATTTGAAAATACAGTAAGATAATTTGTAAAGGTATAATGATATTAAAATGAGATTTGGTAAAAATTGGAAACATTAAACAGATCTGTAAACACATAAGAAATTGAAAGCATTACTAAATAACTATTCCTGTATAAAGAAGTACAATACTTGTTTCAACTAATAAATAGTTTATATGTTGAAAGCTTCTTGATTAATTGATGTAATCATAATTAATTCACTTGATAAATGTACCATGAGTAGGCTAGGGCATGCAGGTTCTCTCTTAAAAGTATAGATGTAAAACAAAAAACAAAAGAAATAACTATGGCAAGGAAAACGCAAGGAATATTAAAATATCAATACACAGTGACTATATATGAATTACATAGTTGTCATTCCAAGTTGGCCATATACCAGGAACACAGGACTCCTTTAAAGATTGAGAAAACTATTATCGTTATTGGTAATTTAGGACTAGAGCATATCAGAAAGACGTTCATTTCTGATTTTTAAAAATCAAAACTCTTAGTAAACTAGGATTAGGTCACTTTCACAATGTGATAATAAATATCAGCATCAAACTCAATGGTGAAAGATTATAAGTGTTCCTATTAAAAATGGGTACACATAAAGAAATGCTCAGTGTTGTTAGCTATCAGGGAAATGCAAATCAAAACCACAATGAGATACCATCTTGCATACTAGGATGACTATAATCAAAAAGAAAGATTATAACAGGTGTTAGCAAGGATGCAGAGAAATTGGAACCCATGTATATTGGTGGTGGAAATATTAAATGGTACAGCTGCTTTGGAAAATAGTCTAGAAGCTCTTCTAAAGCCGCACCATAAGAGTTACCAAATGACCCAGCAATTCCATTCCTAAGTATATAGCCAAGATAAATTGAAAACGTACTTATACACAAAAACTTATGCTCAGAAGTACAAAGCAGCATTATTATTGGTAGTCAAAAGGTAGATACAACCAAAATGTCTATCAGCTGATGAATGGATAAATGAAATATGATATATACTCATAATGATAGATCATTGGGCAACAAAAAATAAAGCAGTGATACATTCTACAAATAGATGAACTTGGATGGAAACCATAGATTCAGAACATGATTGCTAAGTGAAAGAGACCAGTATCAAAGTGTGACATGTTGAGTGATTTCATTTATATGACATGTTCAGAATAGGCACATCCATAGAGACAGAGGGTAAATTGATTTTTTAGGGCCAGAGTGGTTGGAGGAATTACTGGGATGTGACTGGTAATGGGTGTAGGGTTTCTTTTTGCGGTGATGAAAATGTTTTAAAATTGGTGTGCTAGTGGTTGCATAATGATGGTGTATACAGTGCTGTGAATATGCTAAAAAACATTGAATAGTACATTTAAATGGGTGAATTATATGATATATGAGTTATATCTCAATAAAGCTGTTATTAAACAAATGAAAAACAATGCAAGAGTGACCATGGTCTCCATGCTATTTCTAGTTACTCTGAAGTTTCTAATTAATGCCATTCATTATACAAGGAAAAAAGAGATAAATAATGGAAAGGAAGCAACAAATTATTACAGAAAATAGTTGTCTACTCAGACCATTCAAGAGATTTATACTAAAATGAATAAAAAAGTTTGCTAAGGAGGCAGGTATAAAAACTCGTTGGACCTTGGGCTGTTATCCTTACTATATATAAAGAGTTCTTATAAATATGTAAGAAATGATCACCTAGAAGGAAAGTAAACCAGTGATATGAAGACCATTTGCAAACAATACATCATGATAGATAACCATGCAAAAGAATGTGCAGCATATCAGTAACAAAAGAAATACTTCTTAAAAAAAAATCATAAGCTGGTAGGTGAGGGCCACTGTTGTTGAATGAATGTCTTTAACATACGTAGACATTCACAAGTCCTCAGGAATTTAGCAATGCCTCAGAGTAAATTACGTGACTACAAATATTTATAATACCTAATTCTTTATTGACCTCAGTAGATATCTGAAAATTGAGAGGAAGTAATCTCTGAAAATTGGGATCCGCTAGAGCTATTCCTAGAGGGCTGGCTTGGCTATAAGCACTTAGAGGAGACTGAGGCAATAGGAGGTCTTGAGGCTTGTTTGCTCTTGGTGTCCTGAGGAATGTTCATGAGGTCTGCCACTCCCCTGGCTCTCCCCTGGAGCGGAAGGGAGGTCTGAGGCTCCTAAACTAGATCAGGACCACAGTTTCTATTATTATTTATTATTATTTTTTTAGATGGAGTCTGAGTCTGTCATCCAGGCTGGAGTGCAGTGGCATGATCTTGGTTCACTGCAACCTCTGCCTTCTGGGTTCAAGTGAATTTCCTGTCTCAGCTTTCTGAGTAGCTAGAATTGTAGGTGCCCGCCACCACACCAGGCTAATTTTTATATTTTTAGTAGAGATGGGGTTTTACCATGTTGGCCAGACTGGTCTCAAACTCCTGACTTTAGGTGATCAGCCTGCTTCAGCCTCCCAAGGTGCTGGGATTACAGGTGTGAGCCACCTTGCTGGCCCACAGCTTTTATTTAAACTGAAGAATGGAGTGATTACAATGCATTAGTTCCTAAGCTGCCTCATGGAAGCAACTACCATTTTGACTGGAGGGATGAGTCAGTGTTTATCTGCAGGTGGTTGATTGTTGACAGTAGTAGGATTCCTGTGCCCTGTGGTCATTATAGGAGTGTCCCTCTGGTGGTTATAGTGGCTGTGTCTTACTAGAGTCATCATTGCTTCAATTTTCTCTTGCCCTGTAGAGACTATCTTGTCATTTCAGTTACATATTACGTTAAGATGATCTCAGTGTACATATCCTTGAAATTGCCCTGCATATAAGAGATGTACACTTGATAAAAATTATTTCTAGAAATCTTTTGTAGCTGAGTTGTGATAATACCATTCATTAGAAAGATTTTTTTTTTACAAATCAGTGTAAGGATCTTGAAATGGTATGTTTTCCTTATACACATTTATCTGATACTTTTTTCTCCCATGTGTATGTTTATACTTCCCTACTTGTTTATATGGAAGCAAACAGCCTTAAGCCCATTTCTACAAGTTAGAAACACGTAGAAAAATGTGTTATTTTCTTTTTCATAGAATGTAATTCATGTATAGTCAGTGTAAACTCAGAACTTTAACATATACACTTTCTGCTTTAAATTAGAAATGTTATATAATTCCAATGAAACAAAAGTGTAGGCCAGTGTAAAACTCAGAGAGGGTATTCTTAATAGGGTCTACAAATCTTTTGTGGTACATTTAAAGTCGTATTTTCATAATCGGTCAGTTTTCATCCTTGGATATACAGAATCATATTCAGAGATCCGATTAACTTAAGGAGATGTGTTTTGGTTTTTATTATTGTGGGAATTCTCAAAAAATTGCATTTTGGAGTAAGTATGAGTTTACTCCCTTATCATTTATTTTGTGAATCACTCTTCTAGTTTATGGTAACTCTTTTCATCATGCTGATTTCTCCAGGTTGAAAATGTCCGCTTGGTAGATCGAGTGTCTCCTAAAAAAGCAGCTCTAGGTACTTTGTATTTGACGGCTACTCACGTCATATTCGTCGAAAATTCACCTGACACAAGAAAAGAAACATGGGTATGCTTTCTTTATTTTTAGCTTTCCTTATTTTGCGTTGTTTGAAATGAAAAGGTTTTGCCCTCCATTTTTCCTTAGGGTGAGATGGGTGGGCTTTTGGTGCTTGGGTGTTAGGGAACTGTTTCTGGAATGTGTGTTTGGCCTTTTTCTGTGCAGTCATATCTACTTAATCATTTTAAATACGAATTATTTGAACATCGTTAAAGAAGGACATAGAAATAGCCAGATGATACAAGTGCTTCCTGTCACAGCTGTCAAGGAGAGATTAAATAATGTCAGTTGTCCAGATTCAGCATTTTCATCCTCCAGTGCTCCATTTGCAGTACTCTTTATTTATAGGGTCCTATAATGCAGCCATTTGGTCATTTTACTATGTCGCCTCTACTTTTCCAATAATTGGAAAAAGAAAAGCTAGAGGAGTTTCACCATCAGATATTTCTGCTACTTATTAATGAAACTATTAGATATTTATTCTTCTTACTATTTTTGAGATGGAGTCTCACTCTGTTGCCCAAGCTGGAGTTCAGTGGTGTGATCTTGGCTCACTGCAACCTTTGCCTCCTGGGTTCAAGTGATTCTCCTGCCTCAGCCTCCTGAGTAGCTGGGACTACAGGCATGCACCACCACGCCTGGCTTACTTGTTTGTATTTTTAGTAGAGACGGGGTTTCACCATGTTGGCCTGGCTGGTCTTGAACTCCCGACCTCAGGTGATCTTCCCACCTTGGCCTCCCAAAGTGCTGGGATTACAGGCATGAGCCACTGCGCCTGCCCATGTTATTTTTTCTGCAACCCAATCATGACATCCCTGAATTGTAGATTTCCCTTTTCTATATTCCATGCACCGTGATACATACACTTTTAGCAGAAGGTGGCAGGCACTTCTTAGCGTAGAGGAAACTTAATAAAATGCTACCATTGAAGACTGAGCAGAGACCCTCCAGTAACACCAGAGATGCACTTCAGCATGATTTCCTTTAAAGTTAATCTCCTGTTTAGAGAGTAGAATTATGGTTTTACCAGAGGCTGGGAGTGCACAGGATAGGGGGGAATGAGGAGATACTGATCAAAGGACATCAAGTTTCCAATAGACAGGAGGAAACATCTTGAAATCTATTGCACAGCAAGGTGACCATACTCAATAGTAATGTATGTTTCAAAATCATTAAAAGGGTAAATTTCAAGGGTCTTACTGTAAAAAACAAAACAAAACAAAACAACAACAACAAAAACTATAGGTAACCGATGGCTATGTTAATTAGCTCAATTTAATCCATTCCACATGATGTATATCTATCACAGCATCACTTTGTACCCTGTAAATGTGTACAAATATGATTTGCAGTAAAAAAAAATATTTAAAAAATAAAACAAGTCCCTTCTTTTGTAGCCTGCCCGACCACCAACAGCTTGGAAAACAACAATCCCATGTTGATACAGAAGTTGAACATTCCATGTGGAATTAAGGAGCATGGTGGCACCTCCCAGTGGAGCCATCTCTAACTTTCCTTGATTGCAGAAGTTTATTTTACTAACTTCTCATGACCTTATTTAATTTTAGCTATTAAGTGCATTCAACATTTGACTACCAAAATGTTTCCTTACCTGGCCTTATGCAAATTTATATGCTGTGTGGTTTGCTTTGAAATAACTATCCTGGCTATCAGGAAGCTTAGTATTGAAAAATAAAATTAAAAATTTAGGAAGTTGGTTCTTACCTGGAACGTCTCAGTGCTTGTCATCTGGATACGAGGATTGAGCTAGCTGGAGGTTGGGCACTGTTTCTTGTCTTTCTTTGAGCCACAAAGAAATGTTAGTCCTTGTCATATTCATTAGTTACTTGTGCTTAGCTTATGCAAATTAACGTTTGGTTTTAGATTCTTCACAGCCAGATTTCCACCATTGAGAAACAGGCAACAACTGCTACTGGATGCCCTCTGCTGATTCGCTGCAAGAACTTTCAGATAATACAGCTCATCATACCTCAGGAAAGAGATTGCCATGATGTGTACATCTCCCTGATACGCCTTGCAAGGCCAGGTAGGAGAGAGGAACTTGGCATTTAATATAGAACCTCTCTTAAAAATTCGCAAATCACGTTCAATAATTTGTATGATGCTTAGAAATGATAGTATTTGAGGGATTAGGTGTCAGTCTGGTCCTCAGATGAGGACAAGCCTGAATGATTGCCTGATATATAGTTTCTTGTTTTTTAGGGTCTCTTCCAAGTTATTTACTATGTGAGTCTCTTTCATGAATCTTAGTATTAACTTAATCTTTGTGGGGGTTATAGGATGTTTTCCTTTGGGGGTGAAACTGCCTTTAAGTTAAGCCCTTCTTATATTATGGTAATCGAGCTGCCTTGAATGGGGCCAGCGACAGAACTGACCAATTGGTTTGTGTGGGAAATGTTATCAGACAGTTTTAGTGCAGTTTTCTCCCTCTTGAGGCTTTTAACGTTTGATCTCCATTGCTTTTTTGTTTCTTTGGGTTTTTTTTTTTTTTTTTTTTGAGACAGTCTTGCTCCATTGCCCAGGCTGGACTGTGGTGGTGCCTTCTTAGCTCACTACAACCTCTACCTCCCGGATTCAAGTGATTCTCGTGCCTCAGCCTCCTGAGTAGATGGGACTACAGGTGCCTACCACCACACTCTCTAATTTTTGTGTTTTTACTAGAGATGGGGTTTCATCATGTTGGCCAGGCTGGTCTTGAACTCATGGCCTCAAGTGATCCACCTGCCTCAGCCTCCCGAAGTGCTGGGATTACAGGCATGAACTACCATGCCTGGCCCTGTGTTGCTTTTTGATAATAATTTATTTTTTCCAAGGTTGGTGCAACTAGACTTTGTTAGCATCAGTGACTATTCAGAGTGTGGATCTGCTGATTCTCCTGGAAAAAAAAAAAAGAAGAAAATTTGATATGGTGGGAAGAACATTTGGGTTTGAAAAATATGTTCTCTCCATTGCTATCTTGTTCTAGCTGTCATCTTGGGCACTTCAGATTTATAGCTTACTCTTCACTTGTACAGAAGTGTTTCTTGCCTCTCTATGTGGCTTGTGTGAGTTGTGGTGGTGTTTTCCTTAAAAGAAATATACTCTATGTTTCTTGGAAGAATACAGTGAAAGGAGATCATTTATATAAAAGTTACGTTACACAGAAGTAGTTAGTAAAGAAAATAAGATATGTGCTGATAGTTACTTTGCCAAGTGCTTTTTGCATCAGGACAAGAAGTTCAATTATAAACTTGTGAAGGCATTTGGTTGGATCCTAAGTTTCTTATGATTTGTCCGTATCCTTTGTAGGTAGCTAAGAGATAAAGTTACTGAATGGAAATGATGCCAGGGAGCTGTCAAAATCTGGTAATTTTTACTTTACACTGTTTCCCTTTAAAGACAGTTGGTTGAGGCTTTTTCATCCAAGTGTGTTAAAAGAATGGCAGAGTAAGCCAGAAAAGCAGTTGAACTCTTTGGAGGGTGCACTAAAATTGGAACAGAAGTTCTGGGAAGATGTACATTAGGTTGCACGCAGCAGAGAATGTGAGGAGAATTCTGTGCTAACAGTTTCTGTGTCACTGATTAATGGAAGTACTGGGCGATAAATGTGCTCTGAGTGGATTAATAGGATTTAGGAATAGCCCAAAGAACTGGGAAAGGGCTGGGCAGCTGGAAGAATGAATCACAGGGACCAGGAGGGTCACGGCCCTCAGGCAGCAAGTGCTAGGACTCTCACTGGGAGGATCCCCGAGGGGGAAATTTATATGTTCCCCCACTTTCAAAAATAGATACTTTTTCTTAAAATATGAAGTTTTGGAAGTTAGATATTAGATGCAGTCAGAGACCTGACTGGCTACCTTTTCTAAAAAAAGGAAATCATAGTAATTCATTGAATCAAAGCCATCATGTAAGAGGAGTTAAAAAGAATCACTAGCATTTTGAAACATGGGGATTAGAAACGCCAGTTTGCATAAAATGTAGTGCTTTAATAAATGTGGGAAGGTGAACTAGAACACAAGCAGTTTCACAGTGTAATGTTAAAGGCAATGCTAAACTTGGGGCATACTATAGGCTGTCACTTTGGAAGCAGGACTTTGTAGAGGGAGATGGGGAAGTGTGGAAGGGGTTAGACATGAAACAGGAGGCTTCAGTTGGGGCATGTGTGGCTTTTTAGAACCATCTGAAGATATTTTATAAAATACACACTCCCCCTCCTCTAAGTAATAAGGGGGTGTGTGTGGTTGGTGAGGGAGGTGTACTTTGAATTCTAGTAGTATAATATAGCTCTCTCTTGTTATTCTGGTTAGTCATCAACAAAATTTACATATTTTCAGTTTCTTTTATGGACACCCAGCTAACTGCAAGATTCTATACAGCCGGGGTCCCTAACCCCTGGGCCACAGACAGGTACCAGTCTATGGCCGGTTAGGAACCAGGCCACACAGCAGGAGGTGAGTTGTGGGCGAGCAAGCATGAGGTCCACCTCCTATCAGATCAGCAGTGGAATTAATTCTCTTAGGAGCATGAACCCTATTGTGAACCACACATTCAAGGGATGTAGGTTGTGTGCTGTTTACGAGAATCTAATGCCTGATGATCTGAGGTGGAACAGTTTTATCCTAAAACCATCCCCCAACCACACCCTCATCCATGGAAAAATTGTCTTCCACAAAACTAGCCCCTGGTACCAAGAAGTTTGGGAACCACTGCTATAAAGGACAAAATAGTTGTTTTTACATAGAAAGAAATGTTTGGGTGTTCATTTAAGTCAAGGCCTCTGAAGGAGATATTTTTATAGTTGTCATAATTTAATATTAAAATCAAAAGTATTTTAAAACCTTAGCATCAGCAGAATGCTAAGGGTGGGAAAGGGAAGAGAAAAGTTCCCAACTGTCAGCAGAGAGACACAGAGGCATGAAGTGTTTTAAAACCAGTGTAACTATTGAAAGCTAAATTGCTTTAGACATTCTGCTGAATTCAGGCAAGTTAAAATAAATGTCGAGATGCTCTCTTTACTGAGTTAGGATTTGTGGTATAAGGGTAAATCAAATTACTGAAAAATTAGGAGAGATTTTTATTGGTTCGCTTTTTGTATGAATAAAGATTGATAAGAATTTGGTCACAGACTATAGAAGATCTCAGGCAAAACATAACATGGCCAAATGCAAGAAGCTCTTGAATTCTTGGTAAAGAACTAACATAGGTTAAAATAAGAGTTGTGGCTCAAATGAGATCAGTCAACCTTGTAGATCTAATGTATTCATAAGGATATGAACTTTTATAATGAAAATACCCCTGTTTCTCACAGGGCCTCAGCTTTCCCATGTCCTCTCTCCTCTCTTCCCTCCAATTTGCCTCCTGCTGTTTATTTTTGAATCAATTATCTTTCCCTCTTTAGTGTTGGTGGGTGGTTCAATGCTTAAATAATTTCTTTTGTTTATTTTCCTCCTTTTCCTAGTTTCTTTTTAGTATCTTACTCCCCAATTTTTTTGGATATTTTTGATTTTAAAAAATCTCATCATTAAAGTAGTCTCACTTGCTTAATTTATAACTTTTTATTTTCCTTATCTAAGTTATTGATGTTTAAGCAATTTTTGCAGTGGTAATTTCTTTTTTATCAGAGTCTTGCAGCCCTTTTCCACTGTGTTAGCTTCAACAGTCCTAGTGTTTAATTCCAACACAATTTAAACACAGTGTTTAAAATAGACAGCAGGCCGGGCATGATGGCTTAGGCCTATAATTCCAGCACTTTGGAGGGCCAGGTGGGCGGATCACAAGGTCAACAGATCGAGAGACCATCCTGGCCATAATGGTAAAACCCGGTCTCTACCAAAAACACAAAAATTAGCCGGGCATGGTGGTGCATGCCTGTAGTCCCAGCTACTTGGGAGGCTGAGGCAGGAGAATCATTTGAACTTGGGAGGTGGAGATTGCATTGAGCCAAGATTGCACCACTGCACTCCAGCCTGGTGACAGAGGGAGACTCTGTCTCAAAAAAAAGAAACAGCAAGGGTGAGGCCCTGTCATTTTTGTTTTAAATATGCAAAATCCAGTAATAGCTGTATTTATCTTCTCACCCCACTCTAAATGGTTTTTCAGATACAGTTATTTTAAATTGCCTGAATTCAGCATGATGTTTGATGCAATTTAGCTTTCAATAATTACTGTGGTTATTAAAAAAATGTTCACATCTCTGTGACCTGATGACTATTGGTAACTTTTCCCTTCCCTTTCCCACCATTCACATTCTGCTGATGCTGATTCATGTTTGTTTTTTTCTTTAGATTTTTAAAATACTTTTGATTTTAATATTGCATTATTTGTTGCTTCTCCCAGTTAGTCTATAGTGAGAGGCAATTCCTCCGTATATTTACGCTAAATAATTCTGTTTTTATAACCTTTAACCTGATGCCTAGGGAACAAGCTAGGTTTTTTTCCTTCCTTCCCTAATGTTTTGTTGTACCCACATCTCTCCCTTATTTTGGCAGAAGGAGCACCCTTTCCTTTATGTGGGAGAGAAGGAGCAAAGGTTGGGTACGGATGCAGCCCTGTTTATTCGCCTGGTGGTTTCAAGTTGAGAGTTCCACCTGATGGCTTGCATTTTCTATGGGAAGTAGGAAATAGGGTTATCTGAGAGTGAAGGAGCCAGGGAGGGCAATAGAGACTGAGTGGTACTGTAGTGCCACAAGCTTCCCTAGGTTAAGGGGAGCACAATGAATATCCGTGCTAGAAAAAAGTCAGTCAAAACATGCATCTCTATGCTTGGGTTGAGCTCTTGCTTTCAACTGAAACACTGATTTGGTCTTCCTAGAAACAGCCAAAATGTAACTCATTCTTAATTTCATGTAGTATTTTAGAAATTATCATTTTGCTTTCTGAGCAGGAAAACATTAAAGCTTGACTCCTGTTTCATTAGTTATATGATTTATGTAGATAATATATGATACTGTGAATACCAAGATTTCCACATTAACTTTTTCTGAATTTTTTTAAAAATTAAAGGTGCACATTCAGTTTACTCCCACAGTCCAAAGTCACTTTGAGTATTTACTTCTTATTGGAGGAGCTCTTGTGTAATGGGGCCCCTTAGGGTGAGGCCTTCGGTACACTTCCTGCTGAAAGCTGCTGGTCACTAACAGCAAAATATGTTTTATATTGGATATGCTGGCTTAGACTGATGGGAAAAGCCAGTGGAGCTTTTAACATTCCTGTTTTAAAAGTGGGCAAAAAATCAGCTGAGGGATATGACCTTCCTAGAGTAGGCAAATATTTTCTCTCTGTTCAGATTCTGTAAAGATTACAGATTTGTCTAAAATATAAAAAGTTTCTGCATAACCAAGGAAACAATAAAGAGACACTCTAAGGAATGGGAGAAAATATTTGCAAGCCATACATATGATAAGAGATTAATATCCAAAATATGTAAGGAACTCAAACAACTCTATAGGATAAGAACAAGCACTCTGATTAAGAAAGGGACCTGAAGAGACATTACTCAAAAGAAGGCATAGATGACTAACAGATACATGAACAAATGCTGGACCTCAGTAATCATTAGGGAGATGCAAATTAAAACCACAGTGAGATATTGCCTCACAACTGTTAGAATGGCCTTTACCAAAAAGATGAAAGATAGCAAGCTTTGGCAAGAGTGCGGAGGAAAGAGAATGTTTATGCATTGTTGGTGGGAATGTAAATTACTACAGCCATTATGGAAAATAGATGGAGGTTCCACAGAAAACAAAAATAAAATGAGACGATTCAACACTCCTGCTTCTGAGTACTTCCTGAAAAGATTGAAATCTATATGTCAAAGAAATGTCTGCTCTCACATTTTCATTGCAGCACTATTCACAGTAGCCAAGTTGTGGAATCAGCGTAAGTATTCTTCATTGGATGAAGAGCTAAAGAAAACATGGTATATATAAGTAATGGAATGCTATTCAACCTTCAAAAGGAAGACATTTTGTTATTTGTGACTACATGGATGGAATTGGAGAGGATTATGCTGAGTGAAGAAAGCCAAAGACATAAAAACCAAATACCACGTGTTCTCACTTATATGTGGGATCTGTAACAGTTAAACTCATAGAAGCGGAGAGTAGAATGGCAGAGGCTGGGAGCAGGGGAGATGGAGAGATGATGGTCAAAGGGTGCAAAGCTTTAGACAGGAGAAATAAGTATCATTATTTTGAGATCTATGGCACAGTGTGCTGAGTGTAGGTAATAACTGAGTAGTGAACATTTCAAAACACTGAGAGTAAATTTCAGATATTCTTGTTACAAAATATGTGAAATATTTGAGGCAATGTATATGTTAATTTTCTTGAATTAATCATTCATTCTACATTGTAGTCAAAAATCATAACATCATTATTTACCCCAGAAATATATACAACTATAATTTGCCATATATTATTAAAAAGTCTATAAACCAAAAAAAAAGATGATCAAGACCTAGTTTGTTTTTTTTTTTAATCTACCTTCCAGCTAATTGCTAAAAATTCTGCTATGTATTTGGCAAAAGCCGAGAGTGAAAGGAAAATAAAATTATGAGATGGGAACAATTCAGTAACATTTTCTTCTGTGCTAGTGGCACTTTTTTGATTTCTCAGAGTAGGCAGAGTCTGGAGGCCACTTCTGGGCTTGCCTGTGGTTAAGAGGCTTGCCCGTGTTAACATGACTGAGTTTTGGCTGACAAAAATGGGGTTTTTCCTTGCTGTCAGGTAGAATTTTGCTTAAATTGGGCATGAAGATTGATTGATCACCATTTTCCTTAAAAATATCTGAAAGGAAAAATTCATAATTTCAGTGTCAACCCATCCTAATGTCTCCTAGTTCAAGATTGATCTGCTTAATGTCTGTTAAAATTATTCTTGCTGTAATTTATGGATACTTTCATTTTCTCTACCCAGTGGTAGCAGGTATCAGCCCACACACAGAAAACTGTCAGTAGTCATAGGATGTTTTTCTTCTTCTACCTTTACAGCTATTTGTAAATATTTAACAAAGGGAGCTTAAATTCCATTATTACCCCATCTTCAGTAGGTCTTCTTTTACTGAGGGAACTGAGGCTTTCTCAAGAGAGTCTTTTTGACATCTTAAACAACTTGGATTTGTGGTTAACATTATGGTAGCAGAAGCCTGAGTCATGAAAATGGTACTTAGAGATGGAAAAGATGTGTCAGTGTCCAGCCAACTATTCCCAGAACGGGATTTCAAGTTACACATGCTGTCTGCAACATTAGCTAAGATGATAAAAAATTGTTTCTATGGAAAGTGTCTGCTCTGGTTTGTGTGTGAGTGTACCTGGATGTGCATATTTTGTTATTTGTCCAAATAGTATTCTAAGTTTTGAGGTTTAGAAATATGACATAGAGAAAGACTGAAATAGAACATAATTTATCTCACTGACATACCACAGTTGCTTCTTACTCACAAGAAAAATGAAGAAATCTGGCTCCTAAAATATGACCCTTATCTTTCCTCTTTCATGTGAATGAGTCATCTCAGTAGCCGTCAAAACAAATTTGAAACCTGAGTTTTTGTGTCAGGCTGCCTGTGTGTTGCTGCAGCCTCTTGCTGGTGGTGAGATCCTATAAAGGGCGTCAAATACATGTGTTTAGGAACCTTAAATTGTCTACATTGAATGCTATCAGTATGCTAAGGACATAGGAGGACCTAGGGAAGCTATGAGAAGGAAATGTATTGGAGAGAAACAGGAAGATTAGGGGATTGGAACAAGGAAGGAAGAAGGGAGAGGGATCTGCCTTTGGGGAGTGGTATGTTATGATTAGGAGCAGGCCTTCTGCAGCCAGATGTCTCATTTCAACCTGGACTCCCCAGTTACTAGCCATATGACTTTGAGTGAGGGAATGTGCCTCAAACTCCCTTTGCCTCAGATTTCTCATCAGTAGAGTGAGGACCATCAATGTTGCCTGCTAACCGGATTAATGCACTTAATTGCAACAGAATCTGGAACAAAACAAGGTCTGAGTATCAGCTATCCTTTGTTATCATCAGAAATGCTTAGATCTGCACTGTCCAAAATGGTAGCCACTGGCCACAGATAGCTGTTCAGTATTACTCCAAACTGAGATGTACCATTTAGTGAAAAATACACGTGAAATTTTAAAGACAGTACAAAATGAAATGGATCAAATATTAATACATTTTATATCACACATATTGAAATCATAATTATTTTGGATATATTGGGTTAAATAAAATAGATTATTCAATTAACTCTTTTGAAATATGGCTACAAGGACATTTAAAATGACCTACATAGGTCACATTATATTTCTGTTGGATAGCGCTGGTCTCTACACTTCCCCTTAAATGGCAAGACCAGAGCAAGAAAATAAAATCCTAGCTTTTACTGGAGGGAGGGAAACAGTGGGGCTTTTGAGCTTCACAAGCATCAGAGATAACACGATAGGATTGAAAGAAGCCGCATCATGATGCAGCCTTTACCAGTTCTCATCCCATGAGCACAGCGCTGTGCACTATGAATTGAGTTTTTTTTAATGAATCCTATGCAAATGGACAGCAGAATTATGACATTTATGTAGTTGCTTAAAGTTCAGATGTTCCCAGTGCACACTTGTAATCCACAGTTTTTTCAGTTTTGTTATTTCTTCTTTTTTAATACTGTGAGCATCAAAATGCGCATTTGGCCTGGGCCTGTGTCTGCTACTGAGAGACCACTCTAAATCCAAGCTCCCTGTGCATTAAAAAAATGGAATCTTGATGTCTAATGAATGCATATGTTCTTAATTTTTATGTTCTATATTTTATGCGGTCTGGAAAATATATCTGCTTTTAAAGCAACCAAAAAAAAAAAAAAAGGCACAAAATGGAGACGTCCCTGTGTTCTAAAAGGAAAGAAGGTACTGCAGAGTTGAGTTTTGATACCCCAAGGTGTTCTTGTCATTGCTGGGAGGAGGTGGGGGACCCTATCCACTGCACACAGGTTGCTCCCAGGAGCGTGCTAGGGGTGGGGATTGTGATAGCCTCTTAGGATACTCCAGCTGGGACAGAATGTTTTGGGGGAGGTTTGGCTCTGGTTTTGACTAAGCTTGATTTAACTTTATCCTCACTTTTCTTGCAGTGAAATACGAGGAGTTATACTGCTTTTCATTTAACCCGATGCTGGATAAAGAAGAAAGAGAGCAAGGCTGGGTGCTGATCAATCTCAGTGAAGAATACAAGCGGATGGGCCTCCCTAATAATTACTGGCAGCTCAGTGATGTGAATAGAGAGTACAGAGTGAGTGAAGGCATTGTGTAAAACCCAGGCACTGAAGCCACATGAAACTATGATTTCAGCTAGCTTTGCATACCTTTAGTTTTATCTCCTTTAGGTTTTATGGCTCTTTGTACATATCCATGTGTGGATTTCCAGGTCTCTCTTGGTTATTGTCAGCTGTATTTCCAACTTGCACCTAGAATCAAAGTATTCGAACCAGGGAAACATAGAGATCACCCCTTCTACGCCCTTCCAAATCCTTCCTCTCATGGTTGAAGAACTTAAAACCCAGAGAGGTCGGGTGGCAGGCCTCATGGATAGGCAGTTGGTGGGAGAGCTGGCCAGGATCTCATTCTCCCATCAGGTCTTTTTATAGTGTAGTGAGTGATTAGTGGGTAAGTCATGGAGACTCTGATGGCAGTTTGGCACCAGCTCCTCTGTGTGCTCACTGAACTCTTGTTTGGTACACAAGGTCACCAAGAGGCTTCCCTAGAGAAATACGTCTATACTCACAAGAAGGAATACAGAGAGGCAGGGAAGCTAGAGTGGCAGAATTAATCTCGTTTTCTCCTTAATGATCCTGGGTGGTTTCACTATTAATTTTTTAAATATTAAGTAACCAGCATAATGTGAGACCATCCTAGAGAGATTGCAAAAAGAAAAAAAAAAATTCCCACCATCCCATATTTAAATCATTCTTAGGTTTTAAAATTTTCCTTCAGTCGTTTTCTCATTTGTATAGTTTGATAACATTTTTCTTATGTAAGTAATGCATATTCCTTATTGAAAATTAGAAAATTTAGAGCAAAAGGATATTAAATCACCTAAAAGTGCCATCATTCAGAGATGGCCACTGTTATTATATCTGGCCAATAGTCTTCTGGGATTTTAATGTATATGTTAATTTTTTTACGTGTGCACACACAAACATAGACAAATATATGTAACAAAAATGGAATCGTTACATGTGCCTTATGCTTTGCTTTTCTTCACATACATATTGAGACATTGTCAACAATTATGTTTTATAATATAATTTAAACACTGCATAGTATTACATAAGTATGGCTATATCAAGTAATATCTACCTGTTCTCTAATTTTTAGACATTTAGATTGTCATTGCTTTTCACTATTTTAAATAATGGAGAGCATCCTAGTAACTACCTTTGCCCATATTTTAATTTTTTTTAAAATTATACTTTAGGTTCTGGGATACATGTACAGAACATGCAGGTTCGTTACATAGGTATACACGTGCCATGGTGGTTTGCTGCATCCATACCCCCATCATCTACAATAGGTATTTCTCCTAATGTTAGCCCTCCCCAATCCCCCCCTACTATCCCTCCCCTAGCTCCCGCCCACATCACAACAGGCCCCCATGTGTGATGTTCCCTTCCCTGTGTCCATGTGTTCTCATTGTTCAACACCTACTTGTAAGTGAGAACATGGTACTGTTTGGTTTTCTGTTCTTGTGTCAGTTTGCTAAGAATGATGGTTTCTAGTTTCATCTGTGTCCCTGCAAAGGACATGAACTTTTTTATGGCTGCATAGTATTCCATGGTGTATATGTGCTACATTTTCTTTATCCAGCTGTCTTTGTTGGGCATTTGGGTTGGTTCCAAGTCTTTGCTATTGTACACAGTGCTTCAGTAAACATACATGTGCATGTGTCTTTATAATTGAATCTTTTATAATCCTTTGAGTATATACCCCGTAATGGGATTGCTGGGTCAAATAGTATTTCTATTTCTAGATCGTTGAGGAAGTGCCACACTGTGTTCCACAATGGTTGAACTAATTTACACTCCCACCAACAGTGTAAAATGTTCCTATTTCTTCACATCCTCTCCAGCATCTCTTGTCTCCTGATTTTTTAATGATCGCCATTCTAACTGGCATGAGATAGTATCACAATGTTTTGATTCGCATTTCTCTAATGACCAGTGATGATGAGCTTTTTTCATGTTTGTTGGCTGCATAAATGTCTTCTTTGAGAATTGTCTGTTCATATCCTTCACCCATTTTTTGATGGGGTTGTTTTTCTCTTGTAAATTTGTTTAGGTTCTTTGTAGATTCTGGTTATTAGCCCTTTGTCAGATGGGTAGACTGCACAAATTTTTTTCTCATTCTCTTGGTTGCCAGTTCACTCTAATGATAGTTTCTTTTGCTGTACAGAAACTCTTAAGTTTAATTAGATCCCAGTTGTCTATTTTGGCATTTGTTGCCATTGCTTTTGGTATTTTAGTCATGAGGTTCTTGCCTATGCCTATGTCCTGAATGGTGCTGCCTATGTTTTCTTCTAGGGTTTATATGGTGTTAGGGCTCATGTTTAAATCTTTAATCCATCTGGAGTTAATTTTTTATAAGGTGTAAGGAAAGGATCCACTTTCAGCTTTCTGCATATGGCTAGCCAATTTTCCCAACACCATTTATTAAATAGGAAATCCTTTTCTCATTGCTTGTTTTTGTGGGGTTTGTCAAAGAATAGATGGTTGTAGATGTGTGGCATTACTTCTGAGGCCTCTGTTCCATTGGTCAGTATCTCTGTTTTGGTACCAGTATCATGCTGTTTTTATTACTGTAGCTTTGTAGTATAGTTTGATGTCAGGTAGCATGATGCCTCCAGCTTTGGCTTTTTTTTTTCTGTTTGTTTTTTTTTTTTTTTTTTTTTTTTCTGTTTTTTTTTTTTTGCTTAGGATTGTCTTGGCCATGCAGGCTCTCTTTTGGCTCCATATGAAGTTTAAGGTGGTTTTTTCCAATTTTGTGAAGAAATCAATGGTGGCTTGATGGGGATAGCATTGAATTTATAAATTACTTTGGGCAGTATGGGCATTTTCATGATATTGAAAGATAGAATTTTAAAGATAGAATATCTTAAAATTATTTTGTACATGTTGTCAAAAATAATTGTGGAAAGGTTGTACCAATTTCTATAAATTCTCAGCGGTTGTGAATGCTTGGTTCCTTATACCCTCATCAGTAAACCATTAAAGTTTTTAAAAACAGTTGGACACCTTGATGGTGGGATGAGTGATTTCTTATTTTCATTAATCATCATATGTTGATTTCTTGAGTGATAGCTTTTTATATATTCATTGACCATTTTTATCTTATCTCCTGATAAATGACCATTTATCAGGAGATAAGATAAATTTACCTTTTTGTATATTTATTTATCATTTTATATATTCATTGACCATTTATGTCTCATCTCCTGATAAATGACCATTTCCAGTTACATATTTTCACTTCTGATTATTTTCTTGATCTTGTCACAAGGATTTTCTTTCTTTTGGGTTTTTTTTTTGAAACAGAGTTTGACTCTGTTACCCAGGGTAGAGTATAGTACAGTACAGCTGACTCTAGTCTAAAACTCTGGAGCCCAAGCGATCTTCCTGAGTAGCTAAGACTACAGGCATATGCTACCATGACTGCTTAATTTTTCAATTTTTTTGTAGAAACGAGTTCTCCCTGTGTTGCCCAGGCTGGTCTCAAATTTTTGGGCTCAAGCAATCCTCCTGCCTTGGCCTCCCAAAGTGCTAGAATTACAAGTGTGAGTCATTATGCCCAGTCTCACAAGGATTTGCTACATTGCTATATGGTGCTTATATCAGTCAATGAGATGATTTTACAATAGTCCATCAAATGAATGTACTGTGAAGTACTAAGGTATTTCTTTATTAATACACATTTAGGCCAGACATGGTGGCTTATGCCTGTAATCCCAACAATTTGTGAAGCCAAGGCAAGAGGATTGCTTGAGTCCAGGAGCTTGAGACCAGCCTGGGCAACATAGGGAGACCTCATTTCTACAAAAAAAAAAAAATGTTTTTAAATTAGCTGGGCATGGAGGTGTGCACCTGTAGTCCCAGCTACTCGTGAGGCCAAGGCCAGAGGATTGCTTGAGCCTCGGAAGTTGAGGCAGCAGTGAGCTGTGACTGTGCCACTATACTCTGGGTTGTTGGGCAACAAAATGAGACCTTACCTCAAATTTTTAAAAAAGGGCATTTAGATTACTTAGACTTTTTTCTTGCCATATGAGTAATTCTTGGTGTATTAGCTTTGTGCATGTAATTTCCCCCAGTTTTAAGTTATTTTCAAAGAAAAATCCTTCCAGAATCTACCAAAAGGCATAAAGGGCCTAAATTGTTTTTAAAATTTCAGTCAGGTAGGACATTGATGTTTTCGTTTTTGATCAGTATTTGTTAATTTCTAGTCTCTTATATTGCAATCAGTGCACATGGCCTATAGAATTCAAATTTGGGGAATTTTTTGAAGACTTAGATGTTCATAAAACACAATGTCTTATTTTTAATAAGTATTTTGAGTCTGGAGAAAATGTGTATTCTCTATTATTTAGATATAAAATTCCATGTTTATCTAAATTGAGTTGAGTTTCTTATTATTTTGGTCCTTTTGCTCAATTGATTTTTGACAGAGGTGTGTGAAAAATTTCCTGTTATGATTGTGGTTGGACATTTTCTCCTTGCAGTTCTAACGTGTTTGCGTTATATATTTAAAAGCTATGCTGCTTAGCACATAATGATTTAGGACATCTGCTTGGTGTGTTCTTTTTGTCGATTTCAAATATCCTCTTTTCCTATTATTTAAATTTTGAATTCTATTTCATATAATTATATTTCCACTGTTGCTTTTTCTCTTTGTCAGAATTGGCTTGGTGTAGCTCTTATTTTTAACCTTCCTATCTGATGTTTTGTCATTGTAAGCAGAGTATGGTTAGATTTTGTTTTTTACTGAATCTGAAAATTGTTTTGTGGTAAAATAATATCTGTGGTATTGTTTTAGATATCATGTATTGTGTGTTCTGTCAATCATGCTTTTTCCTTTTTCATGCCTGTCACTGGATATTTTTTCACCGTATTTGCTTGTAATTATAAGTATTTACTCTGTTGCTTTTCCTCCACTGAATATCCTTCATTTAGAAAAAAAGTTACTTGAATAATCCCACAGAGTAGAGGAGGAAAAAAAGAAAAAAGCTATTTGTTTATTATGGGA